AGTATAATAATAGTTGTAATCAGGTACACTTACAATTTCAGAGATTTTACGTGTTGATTGACTTGTAAATCATAAGCAACGTGCGTGTCGGAGTGTTTGAGTGAAATCGAAACGAAGAAACTTGAGAAACGACTCCCGTAAAGAGCATGGAGAAAATTACACCAGGTGAGTATACTAAACTTTATTCATTTGTAAGTTTGATTCAATAGTTTGTGCATAACTTATTTAATACGTAATATTTTCAAATTCAATAAACCGAATTTAGATTTTGAAATCTAAGGGTGAGTTTGCAAAATAAAAATTTAACATGACGTTTTCTAGCATTGTATTGTCAGTTTGGCTAATAATTTTTTTTGAAGAGCGAATTTACGTCAAACGCTTGCAAAATTCCCACGAAAAAACTGAAATTTTCCATGGGTTTTGAAGTTTGCATTTTCATTCATTCAACTCTTGCTCGAATGTTCATTTGATATTTATTGATTTTAGCTTGAAATTGTTAAGTTGTCTAGTTTCAAATTGAGAAGTTGTTTAGCCTTCATTCACATTCTAGTCTTCAAAGTAGGAAAGTTGCTTGTACAGCATATCTGTACTTATGTTCATTCTTCTCGTCAGTTTGAAAGCAAAATTCTTCTAGCGTAAGACGGATAAGCTAAATAAATTAATTATACATGCTCTAGTTATTAGATGGTGTCCATTAATGTCTCGAACTTTCACTATTTCACAATTTAAGACAGAAAATTTTTATTTTAAAGAAATGAATTAGGAAATTTTAATTTTTACGAGTGTTAATAGACAAAGGGATGCATGTTTCAAGATACCTACATTTGATGAATACGATATTCCATAAAGTATTTTATTTTTATTAATACATTTTTCTATATTTGAATACTATTAAAATTTGACACGAAATTGAATTTTTTGAGTTGACCGAACTGTTTTCAGCAGAGATGATCAAATAAAAAACTGGCAGAAAATATCGAATCTCTTTACTCTAATAAAACTGGAAGTGAATTTTTAATTTGTTATTCATTTGAAAAGTGATTTTTTATTTGTTATTTTATTTAATCAACTTTCATCAGCAAATTGATTTCATGTTTTAAGAACCAAATGAAGTATGTGAATTCCTGTGACGATATTAAATAAATCTATTTCTATTTTAACAAAACTTTTATACAAAATACGGTTTAAAAAAAAGGCAGGTAGGTCAAAGCTTATATTAAAATAGTACTGGTATATAAACATTGTTGCTGATGTAAATAGTGGATAACAAAACTCATGACTTTAGACGAGAACCAAATATCTAAACGAGGTCTTTAATGCCTGATAAAGCGTATAATACCGTATAATACATACATGATTAATGTCGTTCACCAACATGATAGGGGTGATTGTTTCGGTACGAAGATTTCTTCTAACATATCTGCCGACACGCAGTATATTAAACAAGTAAGTTCAGCTTAGATTTAATAAGGTTGCAGTTCCCTTATATATACAATTGGGATCTCATCATGCATCAGTTGTAACTATACCGTAGCGCAGTATAATTAAAATGTATATATTCAGAAAACCTAAATCGGCTGGCCGTTTCTTTGCATGTGCTTGGGGAATCTTAATGGTCGCCCAGTAATCAAATTAATGATGTTGTGCTAATTGTACATATCAGAATTCATATAAGATTGCTTCTGAATATTATGACCTACCTTATTTTTTAAATCATGAACCAAGTTTACTTTAGGTTGTGTCGTTCGAAATAAAAAATAACATATTTGAAGTATTGATGTTATTTCAGTGCATTTGATGGCGGGAACTTATTCAAGTGCATTCAATGCAGTGATTTTATTGAAGGGCATTTGATGGAGTTACTTCATTTGAGAACATCAAATGGAACGATCCCTGCTAGTGCAATACCATGCATCTAAAACTGAACGTATTGAAAACATGATTTAGGACGTTGATTTGCTCATCACTAAATTAAATATTCGTACAGAGTTCAACAAAATCCTACAATCAGGACAAAAATCCTCGCGTGAATCTTCGGTCGGCAAATTCGCGACACGCTTCGCCTCTCGTGGCCCGCGATTGAAACGTCGACCAGAAGCCGCGGATGAAACGAGCAGCGCCGCCATATGGCGAATTATGGCATTAGCCATGCCGAGGCTGCAGGAGGGATGCTGGAGTGGCCAACTTGCTGGGAAAATGAGGATATATTCGTGGGATTTTCGGGGAATTTCAGCATTTGGGGAATTATGGCATAAGGCGCGTCGATCGAGGCTGCAGCAAAGATACTGGAGAATTTAAAATATGTTTTTATTCCACGAAAAAGAAGGAGAAAAGGAAAATACGTAGCAAATTAAAAATAAAAATAAACAATACCAAAATATTTAAGCAAAATTAAGGCAGATTTAACTGAAACGAAACGCTCGCCGCTAGAGGAAAGAACAACTAAGATTTTGATACAATCATTAACAATAAAAATGTATTTTAGAAACTCAACCCTAAAGGGGGAAAAATGCAGAAGACCACGAAACTACAGGAAGCAAGCTAGATCTAATAGAAGTATACATATTGATTACGTTGGAAATTGACTTCTACATCTGTCAAATTACCCGTTCATTGGGAATGTGGAACAACGGCAAACTGCTTGAACAGGAGGCTGTTACCGTCTCAAAACAGAAGGGTTGCGTTCAGTCAACAGGAAACAGCGATGACTATGGACAGTTGGTTGCTCCCCTATGAGAAATGAAGAGTGAATTACAGCCATTTTATCCTAGAAATATTAGTGGCTTTCTTTGAATCGGCCTTTATGATCTACGACCGATATACGCAACCCTTCCTGCTGATAGCCCCGAAACGCGTTTCAATCCATGACCGCGATCGTTAGAAATCAGTGATGCAGGTAGCGTGCAAGCTGGTCCTGATTGTCATCTTCGATCTGATTAAATAGAAAATTTTATTGTTCGTTGTGCATGATTGGTCATGGAAAAGATTGATCTCTGAATTTTAATATGGCACGATATAACATATGAGTGGACAAGCAAACATTTGCGCTGGATTTTTCACAGAACTTTATTTTTGCTGATGTTGTGTGCTGTTTAAATCAGTTCTTAAGTTGTGTTTTGAACAGATATCGGTTTGGTATTAAAATTAAGTACTCGGCATATAATCAGAAATATTCATTTATTTGAATTACAGAGATCCTTTCCATCCTTTGCTATATTTACGCAAACCAAAACCTGAGAGAGGGTTTCTGAATGTCCATCGTATTTCGTGCCTGTGTTTCCTGATGTCTCTGTCGGTCACTTTGACTAGATCTGGAAATGCAGGAGACCCCGAATCGTTTTGGGATTTCCGTGGGAATTTGGGACCACAATTCAGGACATTGTGGGCCGCGGTCCCTTGCAACGGCGGTGTCAGGTCGGGCCCGGTCGGTTTAGACAAAAGGACCCGGATGACCGAACTCCTTAACGCGTTCCGATGGATGCTCGCAAGGGACCTCAGGAAGTTGGTGCAACTTGCACCGAACATTAAACGAGTCAAGATTTCTCCGTAAATTACAGCAAAACGAACGCAGAAACTTGGGGTCTTTGTCCGAAACTTAGGGTCGATTGAGATCTGATCGATGCTGATTTGATAGCGTTTGCATCGAGCAAGAATTAGCAGGCTTCCGCTTGGGTGGAAATGATCGCAATTTGGGATATGCGTTAATCGGTAATGGAATATTCGAGTAGCCGTTAATACGAATATTTATGAGACGAAAGCAATTTCGGGAGTTATGGTAGAAAATGTGTAGCGTGAGTGGCAATCTCTGTTGTGTGAGTGGATGATTTTAAGAATGAGTTTTAAAAATGAGAATTATGTTACAGTTTATTAGACGGGAAAGATTCATTGCGAGGCAATTTTAGAAATCTTTAATTGTCTATACATATTCCATACAGATTTTAATCGTTGTGGAATGCATACAAATGTATTTAAATAAATAATTTACACTGTTGGGTAGAGTTGGTGATTACTTCTAATAAATACCTTCGACTGGTACTCGTTCGAAAATATCGAATTCAAGTATAATTAATTTTGCTACCTAATAATTGTCGCAAAAAGAATAATAAAAACATTTTCGAAGATTTTCCAAGACATGCATTGCGAATGAAAAAAGAAATATCCTTTGGGTTCGTCCACAAGAGGAAGGTGCCTCCCAAGAGGAGGTTGACAGTCCAACCACTCGATGTCAGACAGGCGCTCTCCTGTCACGTGGCCACAGCGACTGCCGTCTCCGGTCGCCTGTCCTCCCGTCAAAACCATTTCGTTGTGGTACTACAAACCAGCGCCAGCTCCTCAAAACCATTTCGTTGTGGTACTACAAACCGGCACTAGCTCCTAAAAAACATTTCGTTGTGGTACTACAAACCGGCGCTAGCTCCTCTAAACTATTTCGTTCTGGTACTACAAACCGGCACTAGCTCCTCAAACCATTTCGTTGTGGTACTACAAACCGACGCTAGTTCCTCAAAACCATTTCGTTGTGGTATTACAAACCGGCGCCAGCTCTTCAAAACCATTTCGTTGTGGTACTACAAACCGGCACTAGCTCCTAAAAACCATTTCGTTGTGGTACTACAAACCGACGCTAGCTCCTCAAAACCATTTCGTTGTGGTACTACAAACGGCGCCAGCTCCTCAAAACCATTTCGTTGTGGTACTACAAACCGATCTGTGGCGTGTGGCGTGTGGCATACACTTGTCTGTGGAGTGTGGCGCTATTAGCCTGGCTTATATGTGGTGTGTGGCTTTGGCTTGTATGTGGTATGTGGCTATCGCTGGCCTGTAGTGTGTGGCGATGGCTTGTATGTGATGTGTGGCTATGGTTTGTATGTGGTGTATAGCTCTGGCTTATATGTAGTGTAAAGCTCTGGCTTGTATGTGGTGTTGTAGCTGCGCAACTCAGGCTTCTTTTGTTTGCCCAGGGTTCCGCTGGTAACAAGCGAGTCGTGCTGCCTTCGCTTTGGGCATTCTTTTACTGATCATGGTTTGAAGTGGCCATTGAATCGCATGTCGTAATTTTTAATTAGTATTTTGTACCTGGCCCAGAATATAACGAGCTGCTTCCCATCTCTTTTCACATTAGTTGGTGTTGCGTGAATTCCTGCTGAATAATGCCTTGGCCTCATTTTTGAGTGGCGGGTAAGGAAGTTATTAACTCGTATGACTTAGTTTCTATGGTTGCCTCCTGGTTATCCCCTATGGTTAGGGTTTCAATTTAGTCAGTTCGTGTGCCTACCTCTTGTTGGAATAAATTTCATAAATACCGTCATGCGTCCTTCTGATAGTGTTTCTTCTGTGGCGGTTATTGGTATTTGTTGGGCGTTAAACCCATTCTTTGTGTTCGATTATTGCAGGTGGACGTGGGCATCTGATTCCATTTATCTCTTTATGGTTCGCATGGAATCTAATCGTCAGCGAGCTGTCACTGAATCGAAGGAATTCAGTGGGGAAAAGAAACTAGTGTGCCAAGAAGATGCTCCGTACTCATTGGTGACGGAGGGACTTCGGGTTAGAGAGGAGATAATCATCTCGTTTTTGGAGGATTTGAAAACTCCCGAATATTTGTCAAATATTCGGGAATTTGTCCCGAATATTTGAAAACCGAATGTCCTAGATAGTCGCCTAGGAACTGTTGAGCCTCTACGGTCTACAGGAATCTGTGCCAATTGAAAGTGGGCACTTTATTTGAGGACAGCCGTCCTAGTTTGTAACATAGTTCTGACTTTTTTTCAGCAGGAAGTGGTGTCGAAACTTGCAGCTTAGAAGAAATCCCAAATTTTGTATACGTCTCATGCCACAGTGTTTTTAATTCGGTTTAACTTCATTTATAGTCAGCATTGTATTGTCATAACGTTAGATTTTTTTTATGATCAGGTTCTTAGGGTTTTCATATATAACTCCATGGCCTGGCTGTCAACAGTTTGAGTTAGTCTCGTCTTCTCACTATCCCGTTGGAGATAGCTGTATATGTTGAAAGCTCTCTCGCAACAGTGTGTGACTCTTATTTGTCTGGGAAGAGTAGTGCATGTCTCTTATACACATCTAGANTGGGCTTCAACTTGCCTGTACGTGTCAGTGACAGCGACCAAAGTCTGTGATTTCTGTTGCTGTTACATTAGCTAAGCATGTAGGCCTGACTAGGCTGTAGATGTTCTAAATGCAACTGGACTAATGTCTAGTTGTATGTAATGCATGTGTGTATGTAATGGACTAATGTCCAAAAATAATGTAATGTGTCTTTTCCAAGTCTTGGTAGAACTGGCGCTTATTGATAAGATATCTATGGCGATTCCCTTTGCAGGTTGGACGTTTGTGATAAGGATTTTTTTGTGAGTTTATTTAATTTCCAGAATTATGAATACTTTATATTAATAATCTTCTTTTTCGTTTTTTCAATGAGTCGAAAAGCTTCTGCCGAATTACACCAATCATGAATACCTATATTTCATTGCTTGAAATAAATTCTAAATTCTGCTTTCTCCACTTTAGCTGATCCCTTATTTTTAAATTAAATACCCTTCTTCTGCTTACAATAAACGCATTCCACTTCACCACCCTCGGTGCCGCAACAGCGTTTCAAGTGCTCGAAATTTACAGTCGTTCATCATCGAACGAAAGCCTTTTGCATTCACAGCAACAGTTCATCACTGGACGTACGGTTTAACGCGTGGCTGTATTATGGCTAGGCGTTCACTCTTCCTGTTCTTTAAACTTACAATGAAAAAAATAATCTGCCAACGCTGTCTGCACACTCCGGTTCAATGGCGCAGATTCTCACACAAGTTGCTAAAGTTTTTTTTCGATGGTTTTCAGTGAGTGATGTCGGAGCGCATTCGATACTCCAGTGTTTATGAAGAGCCCTAGCAAACAATGTGCTCTAATGCATCGCCGGAACCATTATACTCTCAACCCAGCAGTCTACTTTGAAATGGTCGTTCGAAAGCTTACTCAAAAAATTATAGAAACGAATTTTCTTCCTGTTGTGATGAAGGCAAATTACTCGGTTCAGATATACGTTAGAAATTATTGCGGTTAAGACATAATTGAATTTAGGAAATTTTTGCAACGGGGTCTTGATTTTCAGGTAAATACAACCGCTTGTGATATCTCCGTTTTTATTAAATTTTAACAAAAGCGTGAATAATGTTTCTTTATAAAGAATGTTTTGCTTACAAGTAGTCGTTTTTATAAAGAGAATTTAACCTCCGCTATATTCTTTATTTTTAATTTCCCTCATTTATTGCGCCCATCAAATACAATTTATGTCGCATTTTTTACAAAGCAAACTTGCACTCAGTTGTATTTTTTGATAATGCAATTTCTTTAAAAATTTTTGTTGTCTAGTTTTCTATAATAACTAAGTTATTCGATTTGCAGTGTTTTTTTCTCCTGTATGTTGAATTTCGATTTCGAAATTTACATGGTTTCACTTTCTTATTCTCACTTCCTACAATTTATTCTTGACATTTTCTTAACTTCGTATTTGTTATATTCTTGCATTTCCAAGAAACCTTATAGCTAGCATAATTTTCTTTCGAGAGTGCAGTTTTCCTTCTAAATCTTTTACTTTTTTCCGTCTTCGTCAGAAAACTATTTGGCGAGATTTAGCCATAATGCATTTTTCCACAGAATTTATTCTCAGATTGATATCCTCGCTTTGCATTTCCTCGCTGAATTTCTTTCCCTCTAGATTCATGCACTTTTCGGCTGAATTTCCCTCCGGTTGTATTTTTGCCCTCGTCACTTCCCTCGACCGCGCACAAGCCATCGCTGGTGTGTTCTCAATGCCTCTTGTATTATTCATGAGCGCACTGGAGGGAGCTGGAGTCGCTTTATTGTTATTACCTCCATTGCTTACATTAGTGTTATTGCTACCAGACTGCCCGCTAATTGTGGTGACACAACTGGTCTTCATCATCGTGTCTTCCTTCATGCCGAGGGTCTTAGTAAATAACTGTGAGATAAGAGAGAAAAAGCTTAAGGATGTTTCAGTATTAGAAAGAACGCTTTATTAATAACATTACAATAATGGACGAAAACAAGAATTTGCACCGAATAATGTAATGATACGCAGCTTTTGTTATATACTTAGCGAATGATAAATGTTATAAGAAAACGATTCTTCACTCCGAATTTACTTGGGTACTCTTACGTTGGTCGTGAAAGGAAACTTAACTCGTAAGTCCAGAAATGAATAATAGTTGCAATTATTTAGTCATATTAACATGTCAAAAGTGCATCTATTCGCTGGCATATTGATGTAGTATTGATCAGCACGCTGACAATGAACTGATAACAGTGAAGGAAGTGCAGAAACTTTCGCCGTCGCTCAAGTTCAGTGATAGTTTTACCTGCTCGACTTTGCTATGCTCTTTACGAAAAAAATAACATCACCGGTAACATATCAAACTTTTATAACATAACACTCGTGTAATGCTTGTATCTTTTTGATTTAGGTGCGCAGTTATAGAATATGCAACAAATTATTATCTGAAAGTTTCTCCGGATCATGTATAACGCCCGCGGCCACCTGTCCAGTCCCGAACAGGCAGCATATGCAGATGACAATCAATTAAAAAAAATATGAGTAATTTAATTGAAATTTCCTTTTTTATCTAAAAACTCGCACCGATAACTCGCATACTTTTCCAAGAAAGTCGTATTCAATTCGAATAAGCATTCGAAATCACCGAACGAATGTAGTCTCATCAAGGTTTGGTTACGCAGGTCAGTTTTTGACCAGCGGCGTGTACCCCTAGACCACTTCACTCTGTCAAGGAGTTTGCCTTCCAACTTGTTATAGAATTTGAGCGAAATAAACTCACAAGATCAATGTTTGGTTGCCCAGCCATCCTGCTTTGATGCGGCCTTTGATGCGCTCAGGCTTCCGTATGCAAAAAGGAAACTTTGAGATAAACAAGTACGAGAGACTTGAGGATTAATGCTCTCTCTTATCCCTCTGTATTTTCCTTGTTTGTATACATTTGAATTACTCAGTCTGTAATGCGGATTTAAATGCCCAATATAACAGTGATTAAAATACTATAAAACAGTAAAAACAATAATAATCATTTTGATAGCAAAAAGTTTCCAGTTGTAGAATTTTCATAACATTGCTTGTAATATATAATATTAAAATTCATTCAAGGGAAATTTAGCCATGAGTTGAATTACCATTGCAATCAATACAAATTATTTTTTCATAATTTACAGAATGAAATGAGCGACAGACGTACCGACGCTGCATTTGAGTGTCGACGGCAATAACATTGACTCCCTGACAAAAGTTAGACAATCTCTCATTGTTTACACAAATTTTTCTTCTTTTAAGTTCAGTTTGTATGTTTGAATCGCCTTTTCATTTTGTGTTAGTGCATATAACTGTATAATGGCATCAATTGATTAACTAAATTGAATCTATTAACACTTGAATTGAAATTATCGGATCCTCCACAGACAACTATACTAGTACATGATCATTCCAGTGTCCTAAAAATTTAGAAATCATAAAAAATAAATGACATTCGTTATGAAGCGTTTAGAATAAATTATACGTTTGAAAATACGTTCTTCACAAGAAATTAGAATAGTTCTGAATATCCATAGGCCTAATGTGATAAAATTTAAATGATTTTTGAAAAATAGTTCAGAGAATAATTTTGCACTTCTAAGCACAGTCTATGCAATTAGGTATTTTAAAGGGCGGCATTTATATTAATTATATAGCCTTGTTTCAATAGACTTATGATGCATTTATTATCATAGCATAACCCAACACAGAATTGAGAACGTAAATTCGAGTATCGAAGAATTATTCATATCTTATTCAATATTCTATAAACATTTATATATCCGAAATTTTTTCGATATACTACTAAAAAGTGACAAATGAAGTCGAAACTATCATTTTAACATGAAACTACGTTTTCTTAGAGTCAAACTTTCGAATTTCTCTTCATACGAAAGTTTACGACAATAATTTTAACATAAAACTACACTTTCTTAGAGTTAAACTTTCGCATTTCTCTTCATGTGAAAGTTACTACAATAATTTTAACATAAAACAACACTTTCTTAGCGGTAATCTTACGCATTTTTCTTCAAAACATGCAATATCATGACAAGGTATGCGTGCTAAAGTTCTGCAAGGTTCACATGTGTGACAAGCAGCGTGTCACGATCAATGTTGGTCAAACTTTGGTTGAATGTTAAACTTTATTCTCCGCAAAGCTGCAAATTGTGGCGAATATCGTCCAATCTCGCCCCAAACATAGCTCATGAGCACGGTAGGAAATCTGTAGTATGACGACTGCGTTCTAATAAAACTTTATAATACTGTGATTCAGTCACTCATTCATGTGACCATAAGTTAATGTATTGTAATTCTATGGTATCAAAAAAATATCGAGAAAGAAGTTTTATTTTTTAATGCATAAAAGTATGAGACTAGCTCTGTAGATGAATATTTTCGCGTTATATTGAGACCTAAATGAGACCTTTTAATAATATGTTTATTGAATTTATTTTTATTAAAATTTCACTGAAAAAAAGTTATTATTATTATTTTGAGCCAAGCATTACGCTTGCTTGAGATGACATATGAAATATAACTGGTGGAAAAATGTTTCTAAGTTCAATATGAAAAACTAATTATGTCTAAATAATTTTATATGTAAACTAGTTATGTCTAAATAACTTGATGTATAAAACTAATTAATTCTAAATAATTTTATATTTATAACTGAAGATGTTTACAGGATGTGATACTTAAAACTGTAGAGGTCCATTTTATAATAACTTTCAAAGGCAAAGCAAAGTTCTCACTTCATTTTAAGTTCCATTAAGAAATTTGAACATAAAAGCATTGCCTCTCATTCTTATTGTGTACGCATAACTGAGTTAACAGTATAA